ATGCAGAGTGCAAATGGCTGTGCATTTATTTGTGTTTTTAACTCGATGGGAGCGAAATGAAACTGTCAGAACTGTGTGTGTGTTGTCTGTCTCCCCTCTTCCCCCTCCTCCGCTCCGCTGCGCACCACGCCCACTTTTTTAGCATTTTTTAAAACTGTGGTGAGAACTAACCAGTGCTGAAACAGGGGGTTTCATGACCCTTTAACGCACACCTAAAATTCGAACGCAACGTTTTTGTATTCGAATGTGGATTTTTATTTTAAATTCGACGAATATTCGAATTTTTTTTGGACAGCCCTAAATTCCATTAACATACTGTATACATACAAGTAAAACTTATGAATTTTTGTAATTATGATGAATATTCTTTGGAAAATAATGTAGGGTGGGTCTTTATTTTTTCCATTGGGATTTGATCGGTTTAAAAAATGTCAGGCTATAATGTCATTGAAATGATTTTCCAGAGTGTCTTTATCGTCTTACATGATCATATTTCTCCAATAATGCTTGATTATTAAGTTGCATGTAACTTATCTTTCAAGGTGAACACACGAACGGTGGCAGAATGTGTTGCGTTTTACTACATGTGGAAGAAGTCCGAGCGATTCGAATTTTTCGTCCAGCAAAACCGGTTCGGGAAGAAGAGGTTCAGCAGTTATCCTGGCGTTACGTGAGTTTCGTAATGATCTTCTGTTGAGTGGATGTTAAAATGTTCAGTGTGAATAGGGCTGGGTATCGTATGAATTTTATCAATTCCGAATCTGCTTATCGATTCTGATTCTTATTGATTCCCAGTTTCGATTCCAATGTGGAAAAAAATGTTGTCAAACATATTTATTCTGTCTCTTTTTGCAAAACATTTAATTGCTGTTGAATATTGTGAACAAAAATGAGTCGGCTACATAAAAACTGGACTCGATTAAGAGCTGTTTGTACGCAAAATAGAGCTGCACAATTCTGGATATATTGAGTTTTTTTTTTTTTTTTTAAATGGAAGGAATATACAATTAGGGTAGGGTATCTAACATTTAGATATTAAACATATTTATTCTATGTCTCTTTTTGCAAAACATTTAATTGCTGCCGATGACCATGAACAAAAATCAGCCGGCTGCATAAAAATGTGTGCAAAAATTCTTGTTATATTTGTTTTTTTTTTTTTTTTTTAAATGGAGGTTGTAGGTCTCACAATTCTGAAGAATGATAAATATTAGACAAACACAATCATGGAATTTATGAATGGAATGATTCAATGACGAGATTTACTTGTTCCATTACTGGGTGAATCAGTGTTTTGAATGAATCTTGCAGGGTGTCCGCGGGTCCTTAAAGTCTTAAAATGTCTTAAATAACGTTTTCCTAATAAAAGGCCTTAAAATGCCTTAAATGCAGATTCGATGGGTCTTAAATATTTTTGGTCACATTACCGCTAAAATATCTTCAGTCTGACGGACCTAATGACTGTTTATCATTGAACAGACCTTTGAACAGAAGATTTTTTTTCTCCCCCCCGCGGTAGTTACTGCGTCATCAGACAGAATCACAGTAATGTTAACGTTAGCGGATTACAGGTCGAACGATCTTCTTTGTGTATATAATGTTCTCAATAATAATAATAAATATAGGTCGAGCTACAGCTAGCTAAGATCACCAGTAACCTGACGGTGCAGAGGAAGGGTCAGTTCATGCAGAGGCTGCACAGCTATTGGACGCTGAAGAGACAGAGCCGCAACGGCGTTCCTCTCCTGCGGCGTCTCCAGACGCACCTGCAGTCCCAGCGCAACGCTGAGCCGCTCCCCGCCACGGTGCGTACACGAGATCGCCGGGAGAACACGAGCGGAGCTTCTCACTGACGCTGTGTTTGTGTGTTTGAGCAGAGGGACGGCCAGGAGAAGCACTCGGTGTTGAAGGAGCAGCTAAAAGCGTGGCAGAGACTCCGGCACGACCTGGAACGAGCCCGACTGCTGGTGGAGCTCATCCGCAAGAGAGAGAAGCTCAAGAGAGAGACCGTAAGACTCAACGTGTCCTAACTACACACGACGACACAAGTTTTTCATACTAGGGGAAGGTCCTCCAACATGTTCTATCTGCCGAATCCCTTTATCCATTAAGCATGGTTTATTCAGGGTGTCCGCGGGTCCTTAAAAAGTCTTGAATAATGTTTTCCTAATAAAAGGCCTTAAAAAGTCTTAAAGTGTTTTAAATTCAGATTGATGGGTCTTAAATATGTTTGGTCACATTACCGCTATAATATCTTCAGTCTGACGGAACTAATGACCGTTTGCAATCATTGGACAGACCGAAGATTGTTTTTCATCCAAACATCCTGATTAAAACTTAAGTGACAAAAATAACAGCGAAGCATCGAAACGAAAAAATTATACTTCTGATTTTAATACATTTTAGTTCAATAAACAATTAAACGTAGTTAGTCAAGTAGTTAAGTTACTTACATTTTAGACACAGTATTTACTGTTTTGTTCTGTTTCACCAACGAAAATAGTTCCAAACAAGGATCACAGCAGAAGTATTGCAACATTCTCCAAGCAACACTCGGCGGTGTTTTGTTACTGAATGATTCAGCGTTTTGAACGAATTAGTTGAATGAATGACTCAATGACTCACTCATTAAGTGACTTACCGCCACCTACTGGTAGCTTAATATGTTGAAAAGTAAGCATTTTCCCCTTTAACAAAAGCTGATAAAACACTGATAAAAATATTGTTTCAGAATAATTGTTTACACCACCAAAAATCTTGGTGATGTGGTAGTTTTTTGGGGATATTTTGTGTGGAATATTGTCTGCTGATATGAAAAGTTCACTGTATATTGTAGTAATAAATATCATTTATGACAGCGATGAAATATTACATATATGTAGGCTATTTAATATAATGTGTATTTCCATTACAGGTTTAGGTCTTAAATTTCATATAATGTGGTATTAAAAAGGTCTTAAATTTCACTTGTTCATATCTGTAGAAACCCCGTCTTGAATGATTGATTCAAAGACAAATAGCTAAATTTTTAACAGCCCCTTTTCGCCACCTAAAAAAAAGATGTGCATGATAGATGGAATTTAATTTTTAATTTTACGACAAGTATCCAATTTCTGACCTTAAGTATTCGATTCTGGAAATGGAATTGATTTTCGATTTCCAGCCCTAAGTGTGAACTTGATACAAAGTATTAGAGTATTAGCTCAGTTGTCCTGAGCTTTGAAGGCTGATTCCTCTGCAGGGATCTGATGGACCGGTTGGTGGATGAGGCTGAGGGTTTGGTGGATGCTTCTGTGTGTTCCAGCAGCAGCGACTATTTATCTATTTATCAATTATTTAAAAATGTCTTTGTTAGATTTTAGATTTGTGTGTGTTTGTGTGTACATATATATATATATATATATAGTACCAGTCAAAAGTTTGGACACACGAATGGGAAAGTGTCCAAACGTTTGACTGGTACTGTACTATAATATACACAAAGAATATCTGCCTTTTTTTTACTCCCTAATATCGGTATCGGTATTGGCCCCAAAAAACCCATATTGGTCGGGCTCTAATACATATATATATATATATATATATATGTATTATAATATTTAATCAAAAGTAATTACAACTATGTAATTTCTTTTGAACAAGTATTGTAAAAAAAACAATTAACACTCACATTAATTTGGGGGTCAGTTTTTTTTAGGAAAGTAATATTTTTATTGAGCAAGGATACATTAAACTGATCAAAAGTACCAGCAAATACATTTTTGTTTCAAATAAATGCTGTTCTTTTTAACTTTGTTTATTATAGAATCCTGAAAAAGAAAATGTATCACGGTTTCCACAAAAATATGAAGCAGCACAACTGTTTTCAACATTGTGATAATAATCAGAAATGTTTCTCGAGCAGCAAATCAGCATATTAGAATGATTTCTGAAGCATCATGTGACACTGAAGACTGGAGTAATGATGCTGAAAATGCACAGAAATAAATGACATTTTACAACATATTCACATAGTATACTGCTATTTTCAATTGTAATAATATTTAACATTTTCTTTCCTGTATTTTTGCACAAAAATGGTGAGCAGATGAGTCTAACCTTTACGTCTTCCTGCAGCGCTGACGAGCACGGTGGCATCATATATATATATATATATATATATGTATTATAATATTTAATCAAAAGTAATTACAACTATGTAATTTCTTTTGAACAAGTATTGTAAAAAAAACAATTAACACTCACATTAATTTGGGGGTCAGTTTTTTTTAGGAAAGTAATATTTTTATTGAGCAAGGATACATTAAACTGATCAAAAGTACCAGCAAATACATTTTTGTTTCAAATAAATGCTGTTCTTTTTAACTTTGTTTATTATAGAATCCTGAAAAAGAAAATGTATCACGGTTTCCACAAAAATATGAAGCAGCACAACTGTTTTCAACATTGTGATAATAATCAGAAATGTTTCTCGAGCAGCAAATCAGCATATTAGAATGATTTCTGAAGCATCATGTGACACTGAAGACTGGAGTAATGATGCTGAAAATGCACAGAAATAAATGACATTTTACAACATATTCACATAGTATACTGCTATTTTCAATTGTAATAATATTTAACATTTTCTTTCCTGTATTTTTGCACAAAAATGGTGAGCAGATGAGTCTAACCTTTACGTCTTCCTGCAGCGCTGACGAGCACGGTGGCATCGGTGTGTAACCCCGCAGACGTCAGCTGTCTAGACTCCTACAACTTATATATATATATATATATATATATGTATTATAATATTTAATCAAAAGTAATTACAACTATGTAATTTCTTTTGAACAAGTATTGTAAAAAAAACAATTAACACTCACATTAATTTGGGGGTCAGTTTTTTTTAGGAAAGTAATATTTTTATTGAGCAAGGATACATTAAACTGATCAAAAGTACCAGCAAATACATTTTTGTTTCAAATAAATGCTGTTCTTTTTAACTTTGTTTATTATAGAATCCTGAAAAAGAAAATGTATCACGGTTTCCACAAAAATATGAAGCAGCACAACTGTTTTCAACATTGTGATAATAATCAGAAATGTTTCTCGAGCAGCAAATCAGCATATTAGAATGATTTCTGAAGCATCATGTGACACTGAAGACTGGAGTAATGATGCTGAAAATGCACAGAAATAAATGACATTTTACAACATATTCACATAGTATACTGCTATTTTCAATTGTAATAATATTTAACATTTTCTTTCCTGTATTTTTGCACAAAAATTGTGAGCAGATGAGTCTAACCTTTACGTCTTCCTGCAGCGCTGACGAGCACGGTGGCATCGGTGTGTAACACCGCAGACGTCAGCTGTCTAGACTCCTACAACTTCTCCTCGCTGGACGGGCTGCACCGCGGGCCCCTGAGTCACGAAGAGCCGCTCAACTACTCCAGCGACGGAGACTGCCTCAACCTGCTGGAAACCGGCTTCTACCACTCGGACCTCGGGCAGATCAGCGTGTGCGGAGAGGACTGCGAGCGGCCCCAGGCCAAGCGGCTGAAGATGGGCCTGTCGGAACCCTTCATAAACGACAACAGGAGCATGGGCGTGGATTTCGAGGGCCGCACGCACCACATCACAAGTGCCAAAATGGCGGTTTCGGTCAGTGACTTCGGCGAGGCGGGCAGCTATATGGGAGCGCACACACTACTGCAGTCGGAGTAACACGAGCGCGCATGCCAACTCTCACGGGACTAGCTGCAATCCAACATGTACATAGCCGCATATTCCTTCGAATATTTGCTTTATTTAGTTTTCCTGATTATATACGTGTGTATATATATGTACAGATTTATTTTTTTTTTTTTTACTATGACATCAGTGATGTCTAATTGTACAGACCTAAATCTTGATTTCTCAAGAGTTAATACAGCCATTTATTTTCCAGTCTTGAATTTTTTGGAAGTGTCATAAACGTTGTCTACGTCCGAATACTGTGGAAAACTGAACTCGCATACTTGGGCCGAGGGCAAGGGGTTTTTCTAAGCCATCATGACGACTGGCTGTCAGCTCAGCCTCTCCTCTGTGGTTCCCATCAGTGTTTACAGCTCAGCCTTCGTCTGAACGGCATTTACGACCCCTTCTTCGTTTCGTTACGCACCATTTTGAGCACAAGAACCTGGAAGAAGTTCAGCCCTGGGAGATTTTCTGCTATGTTGACGGACTGCAAAAACAAACCTACGAACAATTGAAAGTGGTTCTAGCAAATATAAAGGCTCTAAATACAATAGAGGTATTACGACGTGTGTGATTAAAATGTTTTTTTTTCTACTTCTACGCATATTTATTAGTGTTCCTCTTGCTTTAGCAGTCGGCGTTTGGCGTATTTATTGCAATGAAGACCGTTGGACTGCATCATGGTCGTTTTTGTTTCCCGAAATGGTTGTGAGATACTGGCACATGTGTTTGTTTTTTTGTTTTTTCGTTTCGATATTTTGAGATCACTATTTATTGAAAAACCGTTTTGCAGGGATTTCTCGCCACGGGAACAGAACCAAGCCGCAGGTTTACCCGTCTGTTCCCTTCAGTGACCGATTATGCAACGTTGTAAATTATTTTTCTGGCACGGCGTTCGTTTGCTGCAAGCACTGACCTGACGTTTATCTATGCATCGAGAATCGCTTACAGATGAAACGGATCATTTCGGACCTCGTTTGCTCGTTTTTCCAGCTTTCCCGAGTTTTACTTTACACGCTCTCGTATGGCAATAATGTGTAAATATGTACAGATACCTGACATACCTTGCTGTTTTTTTCTTCCTCGGCAAACAGACTTGAACTTGAAGACTTGCTTTTGAGTCTGCGTATGCCACAAGAATGCCTTCTCGACTTTACCGTTCGTTCGACGCTTTTCCTCACAAGAGATTTGCTTAAGAAGAGAGTTATTTATTTATTTATTTATTCACTCAGCTGCAAGTGTGTTAGCGTTCTGTACATGAGTGAAATACAGCGTCCTCCTCTCCGCCGGAGACGAAGGGCTAGCTGAATGTACAGTATTATCACATCTTAGGGATTTACTGAACTCGAATGTCTCTCGGTTAAGGCAGAAGCCCGGTTTGCAGTGTTGCCTTAACCCTCATTCAAACCGTGCATGTTGAATCGACCTGGAAAACGCTTGGGAGGCGATCTATTGGACGGCTCGTGCTGTGTCTGTAAAATCGTGTTTCCTCGTACCTGCGGCCGGAATCCTCCTTTATTTTTATTTATTTTTTTGGTCTTGACATACTTGAAGGATGCGTATTGATCGATTTAAATACAATATTCTACAATTCAGTCCTGTAGGTTGTGCAATTCATTTCTTCTGTCCCTCCAAGAATCGAAAAGAGCTTTAGGAAATTGTGTTGGTGCAGTAATTTGTCCAAAGTTTGTATAAAAAAAAGTTAATGGCTTAAAATTGTAATGTAGTAATGGTTGTCTGCTTCCAGGGGAAAAAATGTACATTGAAAAACCTTATCTTTGGAATGTTTTATGCTTTATTTTGTTTCATATTCAATCATTCGCTTTTATGTTTTTTGGAGGGGGGAAAGTTGCTGGGTAAAGTTCAGTTTTTTGACAAATTTTCATGTAATTAAATTATAGTGTTAAATAGACAATCAAACGGCGATTAATATTGGAAAAGGAAATTTTATCATTCTTAATATTTGTACATAGACACTGTTCTTGTTTTGTTGGTTTTGTTTTGTATTTTATGTTGTACTTAACTGGCAAACCATTCCAGAAATAAAGTTTTGGAGCTATTATAACCGTGCTGATGAGTTTATCCAAATACTTGATCAAATTTGATGCCTCTGGATCAATATAAAGGATAATAAAGGAATAGAAATGCAGCATTGCATCAGTGTCTCAGCAATGGATCCTCTGCAGTGAATGGGTGCCGTCAGAATGAGAGTCCAAACAGCTGATAAAAACATCACAATAATCCACAAGTAATCCACACCACTCCAGTCCATCAGTTAATGTCTTGAGAAGTGAAAAGATGCATGTCTGTAAGAAACAAATCCATCATTAAGACGTTTAACGTTACTTCTGGCTAACTTCTCTCACATCAAAATCCACACACATATTTATTTAGAGCTGGTTTGGCTTGTAAACGGTACTTGATCTGTGCAGATTTCTCTCCTGATTCAGACCAGATGACTGAGAGTGAGGACATTTTCAACGAACACATTTTTGGGTAAACTATTTCATTTAAATCTACGAAGTGTTAAATAACAGATACAAAACAACTGTGAGCTGTGCTGGCAAAATGAGTCACAATGGGCAAACTTTCAAAAATGAGTTCTTTCACGTTCTCCATTAAAAGGCCTTCAGAAGTATGTATGATTGGTTGGGATTGGACGAAAAATGATTGAGCCGTTTGAAGTCGACGAAGTCAGCAAAGTTCATTTTGAGAAAAATCGAGTTTTCTGAACGCTCTCGGAATTCATCAAAAATATCTTAATTTGTGTTCTGAAGATGAACGAAGGTCTTGCAGGTTTGGAACGACACGAGGGTGAGTAATTAATGACAGAATTCTCATTTTTGGGTGCACTATCCCTTTTATGTTTCTTATGCACTAAATGCTAAAATTAAATACTAATAAAAGAACTGTTAGGTTGGAAACCAACACAATTTTTTGCATGTTTTCACACCCCGCTTCGCTTTAAAAAATTATTTATTTCAAGTTTTATATATATTTAATATATGGAAGCCCGTTTCCGCCACTGAATAAAAAATAAAAAAAGGTAATTGCGACTTTTTATCTCACAATTCTGACTTTATTTCACAGAATTGTGAGATATAAACTCGCAATTCTGACTTTTTTCTCGCAATTCTGACTTTTTTTCACAGAATTGTGAGATATAAACTCGCAATTCTGAGAACATATCAGTCTTTTCCCCCCTCAAAATTGGACTTTAACTCGCAATTGCGAGTTTATATCTCACAATTCTGAGAAAAAAAGTCAGAATTGCGAGAAAAAAGTCAGAATTGCGAGTTT